AAGAAATGCACTCTTGGCATGACACTGTATCATTTCCTCTCTCTTTTTGCAATAAAAATATGCCTTTGAAATTTTAAAAAGATTAACCATCAGAAACTCCCAGGTAACACAACTATGCCAGTCCCTTTCCAACAATATTAATAAAGGATGAGGGCAGGAACATGTGTGACTTGTGCACTTACACAAAAGTAAGTGCTATTGAAATTAGAGAATCTTACTTTTGAGTAAACGTGCTTAGGACTGCATTGCAGTAAAAGTAATCCTGGAAGGTAATATATGAATGGATTAATATCTTTTTGGCACTAACCAGTAACTAGTAATTGTCTCTTGCATTTCTGCAATAGCGTCCTTACCCAACCATACTTACCCAAACGCCCTGTTCTCCCTCTCTTACAGCTGCAGCTACAGTTAGAATGTCTCTATAAATGGGACACTCCAGGAAGTTTTGGTAAAGTTTGAGCACTACAGAGATGCAAAGAGAGAAAATGAAACTTGAACAGGCTAAAATTACTTTCATTTTTCCAAAACTATCATTCATTTACTATCAATCCAGCCAAGACACTCCTTCATGTGGATCCATCTATGGCATATGGTTTCATTCACATCCACAATCTAATCAGCCACACCCTCGAGGTCTCCTGTAGCCGTTTTTCCATTCTCTTCCAAGTGTGACTTTTGCCCCTTTATCTTTGCCACCTTTCTCGGTCTAAAGGTCTTCCCCAGTGTAAAGAAAGGTTCAGTTCTTCCTGTCTGAACGGCTGCAGCTGCAAGCAGAGTGTCTCTGGTAGATGGGACACTTCAAGGCAGGTTTTATATGGTTTGTTGGGGGAAGGCCATCAGTTTGTTTGAATTTCTAGACCACCCATCTGGCAACCCAGGCCCCTCTGGGCAGTTTACATAATACAGTTAACAAAATATAAAACAAACAATATAGTAATGGGACAATAAAAAAATCCCTGCATTTCTGTCTTTGTCCCTCTCAGGCCTTACTCTTTTTTCCCCTGTTATTTATACCCAAAGAAGGTCCCACTTTGCTTTAAAATGTCTTGGCAAGGCATAGATAACCGAAACACTCAAGCAACTAATAATCCCGGTCCTACACACTGTTATCTGTGAGTAAGCTGTGTTGGGTTCACTGGAGGATCCGTTTTGTAATGCACAGTATGTGTAAGAGAATTAGTCTTGAATGGGCAATTAAGAAGCATTAGTTTTATAAAAGACCTCCTCTTGTTTTTT